TCCATCATGGTTGCTAACCGACTTTATAATGACGATGCATTATTTTGAATCAGTTTCTGTAAATATAGGGTTGGTTAGTACCGACCCTGTATTTGGTAGTCCAAATATTTTCGCTTTTATTTTATAGGTTTAAAAACTTGTACTGCCGAAAAATCATAAAGAAGTAAGAAATGTAGTTCTAATAAATAAAGAATATTTTTTCACGAACACAAATGGCTAATATTCCAAAAAACGGTTAATACTCTTACTACCAAAGGTACTACTACTACCTTTACTTCTACATTCACCAGATAGCAGCACTAGCGGGTAAAGTCCTGTGAGTCCAAACATAAGCATTATCAAATATTCACTTACCAACAACGTGATAGTATCACACACCAGACTATCAATCTAGAATCTACAGACTTCAAAATAAGGTTTAAAATAATTTATTAGGTAGACAGACCTCACTCACAATACACGGCAGCTCGTTCCACAAGAAACCCGCGCGTCAATGCAGGTGTGACACCTAGCATACTTTCACTGTTGAATAAATTATCAAAAAGAACTTTTTGATTATACAGGCGACTGTCCTTCAGACATCACGTCACGGACCCTTCACTAAGGCGTTGAATAAATTATTATAGAACCTCCCACTGTATTTATTTAAACAGACAAACATCAATAATGGTGTAACAATCTATAGAGCTAGAGAGATATAGAACGGTGATGTGATCAAAAGCACGATAATCACACCTCTGTCATAGTTTGATTTCAACATCTAGGCCTTGTTTGAATCCGAGTGTACGGCGCGTCGCGTTCCGCCTGCGCCTCAAAGAGCTAAGCTATCAGACCACCACAGATGGGGCCTAGTAAGGTTGATGCGGATACGCAGCCGTGGAGGACTTAGCGGGTTGCCGGGTCTCTGGTATTTAGTCAGTATGAGTCTGACACTCTCTCTCACCTCACGCTAGCCTAGAGAAGTCATTTGAGGATTTTCCCCCCTTAATAAATAAAAGGCCTTGTTTGATGTGTGATGACGGTAGAGTAGAATACATTTTGTCATCGCTCTTTCTGTGAGTACCATTTGAGTTGATTTTAGGACTTTACATTAAACAGAGACCGGGTAGCAAAGGTTTGTAAAAAACCAGGGTGCTTACTCTTGACTCCAATTCCGTCGATAATCGATCGACATTGGTATTGTGTAATTTCGTACTCTTGAGTTGCAACACTAGCGCCCATTGCATTCATATTGCGTGGATATTGAATGACCTAAATGGTATTTAGTTGGGCTTTATATTCCGTACTCTGAATGCTATTTGAACAGCTATGGTAGGGGTTGTATAGTTTTGACATTGAATCATTATTGAGATTTTATTAGACTGACATTGCATTGGCATTGAGTTTGCAAGCACCTTGATCTGTCACGGACTGTTGATGATCTATACTTAGACAAATATAAATTTATGAAATTTTTCTTTTTCAAATTATAACATTACCTAGCTTATGCCAGCACCAGGGACTAAAGTAGTCTATGTGTCAACTGTCATCTATACAGACAAATAAATTTTAAATTTCTGTTTGTAATATTAAAATAACTGCTTTTTACTACATGCATATGAATATATACACGATACACATACCTACTAAAATAACATTTTTTACAATTTTTGTCTATCTGTCTGTTTATACTGGCTAATCTCTGGAATGGCTGGACCGATTTTAACGGGAACTTTTATTGGCAGTTAGCTGATGTACTAAGCAGTAACATAGGCTACTTTGATTTTGGAAAATTGAAACGAAAAGAAATTTATGTCCTAAAATTCAAAATCTACGCGGACAACAGCTAGTTCACAATAATTTTGAACACCCGTGTCCGTGTTCCACATCCTAATACCTTCAACTGTTTTGGTGTGAAGGAGTATACAGTTTGTATGTCTCCTTTACCTAAAATATTGATTTATTAAAGTTAAATGCTTATTAGCTTAGATCCATGTGATAATTATGTAATAAGCAGCTATATAACTCATGATTACATGTTCAACTTGCGTAAAACTCACTTGGTTATGATTGCAGAATAATGTACACTAATTGGACACGTGTAATGAGATGTTTGATGGAGATTCATTCCATTGTGTTTTATTACGTAAGTAAGTACAAGTTAAACTTACCCTAAGAACTAAATACTAGGCTAACTGCTTGAAGTATTACGAGATAAGAGTGCCTAAAATTATTTCCTAAATTAATTTTAAGGCCATTATAACAGGCATGACTTTATATGCTTGTTCTACATCTTGTGTACTTGTGTGAATTTATTCTGTTGATAATATATGTTTAAGAATGACTGCACGGTTGGCGCGGTGACTGGGCAACTGGCTGCCGCCCAACATGTCGCGGGTTCCCGCTCGGAACAACTCTTTGTGTGATCTACATGTAGTTTTCCGGGTCTGGGTGTCATGTGTATGTGAAATTGTATATTAGTAAACGCACCCACAACACAGGAGAAAATGGTAGAGTGGGGCAACGTTTTGTTAAAAAAATAGAATCGTGGTGGCCCAGAGGTTTTATTTATTTTATTTATTTATTCCACTTACAGGTTAATGCCCAATGCGTTAAATGTGCTCATCTTAATATCTATAGCATATTACATATAATGCACTCCTTGTGAATTCACCCAGAGTACAACAAAATTAAGTTTAAGGCGCACGTTTCTCATTCATGAGGACGCAATTCAACTTACCAACGGCAAGTACCATTTTGACTTTTTCCGAGTTATATGTACTTTCTAAAATTATTTAGACACCACTGACAAACAATGAAAGAAAACATCATAAGGGCACCTTAGCTTATAATTTCGAATTATAAGTTTGATATTTGCAACCCGCATTGAGTAAGCGTGGCTATTAATGCTGAAACCTCCAGGTAAAAAAAGGCTTTTAGTCAGCAGTGGCCACTTAAAGGCTGTTAATGTTGTTAATATTTATAACAATATTATTACAACAACTTTTTATTATTCTTTTAAGTAATCAAGTGTATATTTTTTAAAAACTCGTAACTCACCTTGTAAGTGATCTTTAACCGTAAATTATAGACAACTATACAGGCATCATGTCTTCGTTGATAGTAATACGTAGTCATTAGTTTGATTACCTTTATGCTTGGATAACACCATGTAGTTTTCTCACCGGTGATCTAAATTAACTACGTTTGCAGAAGTGAATAGATTGCTTATGGGACGACGTGCTCCATCGTAGACCGCATCATTGCTTACCACCAGGCGAGATAGTGGTCAAACGTCGGCCCATCAAATAAATAAAAGCTATTTTTAATGCAATATTTGTAATTAATTTAGAAATTGTTCTGATAGAAGTATGTGATTTGTGACTTCTTCTCAAATCACATTCTTCTATCGTACTTTTCCTCCTTCCAGTAGGACTGTAAGAGCTGCCGGTCTATTTAGCGAGAAGATTTATGCCAAACATTATGTTGCGGTAGTCCATAATTGAGCAGTGAACTGTAAATGCATCTTAATTACACAGGTCATGAGTGTCAGTTAACGTAAAACCATATACCGCAAGAATCACAGGCATATTTTACCATTAATTGGAAAAGTAACATAGAAAATTCGATTTGGAAAATATTCGTATGCCTACCTATTCGGACCAATAACCTACGAATAAATACGGGCTCATTAAAAATAACATATTAAGGTAATTGGGCATATTTGACTGAAATTTTAAACCTTGTTATTCACAAAACTATTATCCACTTAAGTATAAATTACTACAATTACTGTACCTTCCTAGCTACCTATTTATTTGAATTTAAAGTATACAAATTGATACTACTTAATACATAATGGTTTATCATCAACAGCCTGTGCCCACAAGTGCACACTGCTGAACAGTCCTCTCCTCACACGGAGGAAGTTTGAGCATTATCTAATCACCACGCTTACTGAATGATGGATAGTGATTTCAAACTTATAATTAGTAGAAATTATAAATACAGGTTTCCTTACGATGTTCACCGTTTGTCAGAGGTGTCTAAATAATCTTAGAAAGTGCATATAATTCGGAAAATATCACATTGGTACTTTGGCGTTGGTAGGTTTCGCACCCTCATGAAAAGCGGGCATCTAAACCTCTGGGCCACCACGACATTAATACATATTGGTTAGGTAGACATAATGTCATAGTAAATTAAGATAATAAGTCTGTGATCTATGAGCGGATGTGCGTCACATGAAATCGATCATCGTCTAACATATTATTATTGCAAATATGAGAAATAATATAAATAAGACGTATGATTTAATGCCTATGTGGGAAACCTCAATAACAATATTAACATTAATAAAGATGATATCATAATAACATCAAAACAACAGTCTACAACAGGACTACTAAGCTTCCTATATATAAAAGGGTTTGCCATAGACTCCACGCCTAGCAAGTGGGTTGGGGATCGTAGTATCCATGCCCAGTCTCTGTTAAATGCACAGTGCCTCAGTCGGCACTCCCGACTACCGCAAGAAGAAAGGAGTATTGACAGATATATTTCACTTTGCTACCACCACACAAAATACTGCCACTACCACACCATTTACATAATAATATAATAGTAGGAATAACACAACACGGTGTAGACTTCCCACGCCTACGATAGTTCTGCTTGATCGAGTTGCTACGCACTTGCTACGCGTCGTTGCTACGAAAATTAATTCACACGATTAACGATGCGTGCTACAGATTCAGTTTTCGTAATCATTATAATGATTATTTTGTCTTCTTAATATTGTGTTAGCAGATGTTAATTAGTACACAGAATATTAATTTTTAATGTATCACTAAGCTCGAGTTGTGCGAAAGATTTCAGGGAATGTTATGAGCAAAAAGTAGAATTTAAATTAAAAATACATTTATTACAATACTTAATTCGAAATCAATATAATATTTGGCACAATTTTAATAACATAAATATATTTATTTATGAAACATTCGTTATAAAAAATATATTATTTAATATTTATTGAAAATAGAACGGCGTCTTTTCAGACCATCACCTTTGTGTGCCGTATCTGTAACTTTTTGTATCTTTTGGTACTTATCAATGGCGGTTTTAACGAAGTCTGCAGCATTGCTAATCTTCTCCAATCTTTCAGGGGACATGAGAGCCCTCATTTCTTCATGGATCGGACCAACTCCGTGGAAGGCAATTGAGCATAAGTTCGTGTAGGTGCAAACTCCAACGGTCAAGAGAGAACCAAGGACTAAAACAATTACGCTGTTGAAAATCCAAGTGATGCTACGACCGACGAAGCTGACCATCGTCTGAAAATAAATTAAAATAATAAATTAAAGAAAATACTCTCAGCGATTTTTCTTAGGGTTTATGCACTATTACTACATACACTATTATTACATTGAATCACATTTTTACCCACAAATAATACACTACTGTATAACATCAGAATACTGCCAACCTGGGTAATAAACCCGAGGTCTTTCGCCCAGCATTCATAGCGTGACATCGTATTCACCCAAATATAAAATCTTAGAGGTACTACAATGTTTAAACTCACGACTGTCTCCCATGAGGGTAGGCATACACTATGGAGCGCCAATTGCTATAATTCTTACATACCGCTTTCGCTTCCTCAACAGTCATCAGTTATCTCAACAATGTAAATATATCTCAATAATGTATCAAACAAATAGAGTTACTATTTGTATTGGTGATTAAAAAATAGCTAGTTTTACATTATAATGCATGTAATACTTACTCTGGCATGTGGCATCTGGCTCCACAGCAAACCTAGCGTTGATGTATCGGGCTCCATCAAGTAGTTCTTCAAATTGTACATGTCGTAACTGAAATGAATATTAAGAGTAAAGAAGACAGTACATCAACAAATTTGTATTTTGGTAATATAATCAAAAATCTTAATTAAAACATAACTTCTGAACTTACATTAAAATAGTCACTAATAATAAAACAACTAGTAAACAAATAAAAACGCAATCATACTGACGTAATTTCATGATGGTAGAATTTAAAATGAAGTAAAAAATGGTTTAATGACTATTGATTCTCTTTTGGGGTCATAAATAAAAACAGTAGTTCAGAAATTACTATATTAGTATAGCTTGCTAACAGCTTAAGTAGTAACACAATTTTTTTTACTGCCCTAATCATCAATATTTATTTATTTATTTAAACTTTAATGTACACAGATACAAGTAATGGTACATAAGGCGGACATTAATGCCATATGGTATTCTCTCCCAGTCAAACTTATATCAATATCGAAATCACGGTCACGTCCTAATCTTGAAATGAAAGCAAAAAGAAGAAGTATTACAACAGATACTAGACAAACTACTTACTTGTTGGATGCAGCATATCCTGAGTCATAGTAATAACCAGGTGCATATGGAACGTCAGGGTAAGCCACATCAGCGGTGCCAGGAACATAACCGTTCGCTAGAATACCTAAATCATCCTGGAATTACAAAAAAATATTATGATTTACCTTTCTAGACAGTCACACTAGATAATAGAATATTATAATTATAGAAGAGAACATGAACACCAGCATTGAAATTAAACTAATGTTGTACCATACAGAATTTTGTAAAGATGTACCTTTCTCATGGATGCGAAAGGATCGATGCTATCTCATTGTAGCTTTGTTGATACGTGCTTAATGGATTAATTCGAATGAATATACTCACAATTCTATTAACTTCGGTAGGCATTTCAGGTTGGTCAGCTAACATAGAATCATGTTTAATAACTGGTCCAAAAGCTTTCACAGGTTCGATCCTTGCTCTGCCCTGGCTTATTTCTTCTGGTCGGTACACTGGGTGTGCTGCCTCATGTGGTATGTCTTGTACTGCATGGCTTTCCAAAGGTACAGATGCTAGCTCAGGTTTGAAAGCTGCATGTTTATCTAATGCAGCGTATGAAGAAGAGATTTCGGCTGAGAAAGCAGTTGATGCTACAGCCAATAGTACTGCTAGTGTTTTGATCATCTGAAAGTAGAAGTAAGTGTTATTTAGCAAATGACGTTTTTATAAAGTTCTTGTGAAAGGATTTGTAAACAAAATATCATTTAAATAGGAGATTTTATAGAAGAAGACACTTAAATTCGAAATCTCGAACGCAGCGTACGTATGAGCTGCTAACACTACAGCGTAAGAAGAAATATTTGGCCTCATTGCTTACCTTGATTTTGGTTCTTGGTCCTATCCCAACGAAATCCTTGAAGGCACTGATGCTTTCTCCTTCCTAATTCGTCCTATTTATATGACTTCCCGGTGACCAGTTGCCCATTACGGTAAGTGTCCTTATCTCCATATTGTTTTGCAATAATGGCAGGGTCCCATCAAAAGATAAGGATTTGTCAAGCCATTGGAATGTTTACCCGACATTCCATCTTTAATGCAACTAGTTTACTTTTTAGCAATGTTCTTTGAGGAACTTTTGTTTCATTTGTTGGCGCCATGAGAAACATTAAATATTGAGTGCGACAATAGAGAGTTTTTTGCAAAATATGTCCTGTACTGTCGTCATAATGGTGAAAGTTATTCGTACGGGGTGGGTATTGAACATATTTTTTTTATTGTGACACTTCAATTCTATTACTTCACTCTTCATTTCGTCCCTATTACCGAAAATCACGTATATGTAAATCAAATTTATTTATACCCACTAATGCCTACTTGAATCTAATCCGTTGCTATGTGTTCTTAGTAATACATACATTTCCGATTCATTATCTAATAAATGTTTACTATCGTGATATTACACTAATTATTCAGGATTAATGACTTATTAAGTCTAAATTAATCATTATCATAAGATATAAAATTTGTTATATCATATTATTGTATACAAAAAATATAATAGAAAACATTTTTATTATTTAGGATTCGGGAAGGGGTAATTGGGTCTCCGGTAACCTCCTAACACGACGAAACACCTTTAAAACTACAACCTCTAACCTGATTTAAAAGTGTTTTAGACATTATGGTGCTTCATAAGGGGATATGAAGCGCAAGTCCACTGATCCAAATTATCGAGAGAAACACCAGAGTATTGAAAATACAGTCAACAGTAAGGCCCAATAACTCCCCTTATATAATTATTGGGATAGGGGGGGGGGGGTAACCCAATCCCTGAATCCTCAAATTTCTCATCCCAAAAGGGCTGGTAACGCACTTGTAACGCCTCTAGTGTTCCAGGTGTCCACGGGCGACGCCGATTGCATATCATCAGGTGATCCGTCTGCTCGTTTACCGGCTTATCCCATAAAAACAGTAACAGTAATTGCCCTTTGTATGACTCTACGAAAATACTCCTTTAAACAGATCCCGATACCAACAAACAATCATTAAATCGATACAATCGATAGAATCGATAGAACCTTTTGAAAAATACATCGAGTGAACTGGCAGTAGCTGGCCAGTACTTAGTTCATGAATAAATAATGCACCGGGCCACAGAACTACTGAATATTTCTTTCAAAGGCCCACTTTGAGGCAATTGTATGTCATTAGTGACCCAATTTTCCCTTTATCGATTCCTAACCTCGCTAATGGTGATATAACCATGTGGATCATAATATATCGTGTTTCATAATCATTATTATTGTCTTATTTGATGTTCGTTTTTACGAGTTCTGCCTACTGAAAGGTCGGATTATAGCAGCGTCATTCATTCGATGATTCGATGATGCGTGTTATAAACTAACATACCTTCGTTACAAAATGATGTGTCTACAATCTACAATATTATTAAACTATACTTAAATATGAAAAAATAAAAGATTATACATTAAATAAGTTACATTATGTATAACATTGAGTACTGTTATGCTAACCTAATCCGTAATTTGCCAAATTAATAACTTTCATAACGTAATATTCCCTTATTAACTACACTAATCAAAACTTCAGAGGCTCTTATCTTATCTTTTTTTATAAATAATACAAAAAATAGAGATTATTATTTACTTCTGAAGCAGGATAGAATTAGTCATCGTTAGTCATTGCTGAGTGATCTGCCTCATGGAACAGTATCTCTACTTATCACAAATTCGGAGAAAATGCATTTTTCTACAAACCATTGAGTAACATACTTCCTATCTTAATTACTAGACTTTTAAGAATTAGTGACTCGTGTAAACAGACGATGATTAAAAACTGAGACATTTTTTTCCGACTACCAATGAGGTTGTAATACCAAAGTTCTGTTTACATTATGAATAAACCATATTTAAGCTGTGGCAGAACAAAATGCTTGTCTATGAAGGTTCTACAATTAATCACGCATGTCAAACATGATAGAAAAGAGGTTTACTTACCGTTTGACGTATTCCCAAAACAACAATATCTCCTTTTCAACAACACTCATCGTTCCACAAGCGACAAACTCCGATAAACATCAGTACAGCATGATGTTGATTGTAATTTAGATTTAATCGAATCTTTTATTACCTTTGTTGCGACCGACTTTTTGCCAATAAATTATATTGTACCTAATTAATCAAAGAGTTTATCGTTATTGTATTTATTCATTGTTAATGTTTTAGTATTTATCGTATAAAAGTATGTCATTAATTTCGTGACGCGGTCAGTCGTGTGAGGGGTCTGTACTACGACTACCACCCGGTCGGCACTTCAAACCCTATATTTCAATAGAGTTCAGGGTTAAATACCAATCGATTCCCATTCATTAAAATGGGCTTTTGATTATATAGTATAAACCTCTATAGATGTTTGCCATCGAAAACAATAGTAATACTGGGTCAATGTTAAGTTGAAGCGTGTTTTTTCCAATTCATAAATATTATTATCAACTAATTCATGTTCAATTTTTAATTTTACCTATCACTTTAATAAAGCTGTAATTATTTTTCTATTCCTAAAAGGAAAATAAAATCTACTGTAAATTGTTTTCATTTTCGTAGATGTCATCAAAAGAGGTTAGTTAGACCTATGTAAAAAATATTTTACCTAGATTAGCAAAAATCAATTGTTTTAATTTTATAATGACAGACGTCAAGTCAAATTATGCTAAACTCGACTGTTAATTTACAACTATGTAATTAAAAACAACGAAATGGCGTTGAAAAAATTATCTAACGATGTTCAGTCGTTATTGTGTGCATCTTCTCAAGTTAATAGCTTCAAGAGAGCCATTGAAGAATTAGTAAGCTATTCAATATTTTTTCTAATCCTTATTAATGCTGTTATTATTGTGCATACTGATGGCGAACTTAATTTCAATATCAAATGGTATACCAAAGGATAAAATTAAAAAATTAATAATATTTTTTTCGACTAGCTGTCTATGCATTGAAACATTATAAGCTTTGACCATCATTGTGTTTTCCGTCCACATACAAGTAATTTTATTGCCTGTAATCATATAGAGTAAACATGTCACTACAAATACTGATAAAACAAACACTGCCACCGTAATTACGCCGTGCCTTGACGATAAAATAACAAACGATCTTGATTTCAGATTTACAATTCACTAGACGCAGGATCAACATCGATTGCGATAAGGATACACATTCAAGAAAGTACAATACAAGTTATAGATAATGGACATGGAATCACAAAAACCGATTTCCATTTAATCGGTCAAAGATATATGACAAGTAAAACTATGGATGTGGCAACTATGAAAGCAGCTCCGAAGAACTATGGATATCGTGGGGAATTCCTAGCAAATGTTATTGCAGTGTCACAAATGGTTAAAGTGACTTCAAGGCATGAAAGTTCTGAAGACACGTGGGCTAAGATATTTTCTAATGGTAAAGAGAAGAAGCTCATTAAAATGACTACAAGGCCTACGAAAGGAACTACGGTTAGTACTCGTATAGCTTTAGGTTGGATTATAAAACAGAGACTATTATATGACAAGCCTTTAACTATCTAATGCCAATTGCCTTATACCGGGCACATTTCCAGACTATGTGCTGCTACTGAGATTTTATTAAAAACCGAGTACCTAATACTTTGCCCGACCTGGGAATCGAACCCGAGACCCCTTGCCCGGCAGCAATTGCGACCATCATTTTAGAAACTGATTAATATTACTTACCTAATGTGTTCACAGGTAGACATCAAAGGCTTCCTCTACAATCTTAACATACAAAAAAGAGGTATAGATCCTGTAAATGAGCTACAGAACATCAAAATGTTTCTTGAACAATTATCACTAGTCCATAATCATATATCACTAAGTATAAGAGATGATTTGCAAAATGAAATTGTGTTTAAAATTCATAAGAAAAGAAATATCTATCAAACATTATCGAATGTATTTAATATCGATAAGAGTGATGTACAAGAACTTCAAGTGGAGAAAAATGAATACAAAGTTAAAGGTTTAATAGGAAAAGGTAATAACGAGCTTGACTTACACTGGATCTATGTCAATGGGAAGTTTATACATAACAGTAGCAAGCTACATAAGATTACAAACGAATATTTTAAGAAATGTCTGAACATTAAGGAACAGACGCGACTAAAATCCAAGGTAACATTTGTGATTAGGTGATTTTTGTCGTCAAAAACATATAACTTTAATCATTAGGTATATTAACCATGTTTCAGAGACATGACGAAAGTCAACTATTTAATCAAAACATTCCTTATTACATTATATTTGTAACTTGCCCATACATTGATTATGATATTGACTATGCAACGAAACAAGCAATCATACAATTTAAAAATTGGGACCAACTGAATAAGATGCTAGAAAAATTAGTAAAATTCTTCGTTGGTGACGTTAATTTAAAAGAAGTCAAAAATGTCGAAAAGATTGTCTCAAATGCCGATAAAGAAAACAATGACACTCGAGATCAAGTAAAGAAAATTATAGATAAAATATTAGGAAATAACTCGAAGAAGTTGGGAATTTCACAATTACAGAACGGTATAAAAGGTATGTATGTAGTTAAGTATGTACCTATTATTTGATATTAATCTTAGAGATGTGTATCATTATACATTACGATAAACAATTTTGATCAATATCATAGGATGTATAGTTTGAAGTATTAAATAATACGGTATATTTAAATCATGACGTCATACTACTATATTTTTATTAACCCTTCAATCATTCGTAGGAAAGCTAGTAAAAAGAAAAAATAAAAAGAAGACGACAGGAAGTGTTAATGTTCAAAGATTGTTATTCAAAAAAGAGACAAATACAAATTTTGATGATAAATGCCAATTGATGAGTAATATACTTCCGAATTTGAATCACAATGCCCCACAACAGGTAAAAGAGAAAGCTGATAATAAAGATAAGCTAACAGTACACAAAGTACGCGAAAGCCCTAACCATTGTCGCAAACGAAAAAAGATACCTAAACAAAAGAAACATCCAATCAAAGAGATTCCAAGACCAAACAAAAGAATTAAAGACCTTACTTCACCGGTACTACAAATGAACCAGAACAATGCATTCCCAAAGATAAAAAATAATACTATGAAACAAAAGCAACTACCGAAAAACAAAAATAAAATAAAAAGCAATAAACATGAATTACATTATTTGAAAAATACTGATTCAGTCTATAAAAGAAGCAAAATCGTAGCCCAAGAAGCAGAAGAATTTTTACGCAATAACAATATCACAAAAATAAAACCCAATATAAATTACTATGAAGAAAAGAAAAACCCACTATTATTAAAAAGCAAATATTGTGCAATAAACGAATATGAACAGCCAATCAATAAGGTAAATTACCAGTACTTAATGAGTAAATTAAAAACAAAGCCATATAAAACAACGTACGACTTACTTCAAACGATTATGAACAGTCAGAAGCTAATTTTGAATACTGTAGAAAGCAACAAAAGTGAGGAATTGGACAAAGCATTATACAGAAAACGAGATATACAACTTCATTTCCCTAAACTCTCCAAAAGATACATAACTAATAAATTTATTTGTAATGAATATCCAGACGTTGATGGCAAAAATATAAACGAAATTTCTCTATTTAGGAGTAACATCAAAGAACAGCATACGCCATATCATTATGGCGATAATTTTAATGAAATTCTTAGCTTTTACAGAGAAAATGAAGGCAATACACCTCAAATTGCGCAAAGATTTCAACTTACAGATACATTTAATTGTTATCAAAAATATGCAATGCAAAAAGAAACATCACATCCTGTTACAAACGCCCTGAGCTTGTTAACATACGACAGTCACAAATATCGAAATAATGAAGCTTTTGAACGAAACGAAACTGAAAACTGTTGCACTATAAATAGAAAGCCAAATATTAGATTTATTACAAAACAGTCTAAAGATAATTTTGCTACATCCGATGATTTAAGAGTTAAATTTAAAAGACCTCGTAAGATAATATCCAACAGACAAACAAAAACATACGATGTACGAAGAATACAAAGCATAACTGAATCACTGTATACAATTGAGTATTCCAAAAGCAGTGAAAATAATTTTGGCGTAGCAGAAAATGAAATTGTTTCTATGAATATGAATTATGAGAATATCGATGACTGTTATAAAAATCAAGGCAAGAATATATGTGATGATGCATTTGCGATGATTGATGAAGCTTTTGGGAATACTTATACACTAAACTCATTTCACGTTAACATTGCAACACAAAATTCAAGGAATAAGACACAAAAAAAATGTGAATCTAACCAACTACTTGGTCTCTATGATAGTCGTAATGAAGTAAATGGTGTACACAGTCAACCTAAGAACAATTGTACTACTAATAAAAATAACACTAACTTTGTATTTGTATCCAAATCACAATGTTCTACAAACGCTAAGGAACCTGAGTGCAGTAATATGATTGTCGAACCATTAGACGTATGTGAAACAGTTTTACGCGACATCGGATCAGGTGAAAGAGAATTTGATTTTACATTTAACGAAAATCACCAAAGGAATGATTCCCTATACAACATCTCTCCTAATATTAAAATTGTTAATGAACATCAAAATCAAGACTGTTTAATTAATTTAAATAAAGCGGTTAACAATAACGGAGAAGATGTTTCACATCATTTTAACAACTTAATACAAGCTACAGAAAATAAACAAATGAACGATAATTATAATATTGACAACAACATTCAAGATCAGGAGCTTTTAGAAAAAAGCCAACCTAGACCTATAAATAAAAACGTAATAATTAATGATTCCACTGATATCAACGTTATAGACAACATGAATGTAAAGCAGGATTGTAATGTGGAAATCGATAATTTCAATTTAAGAAATAGACCACGTTTTGTACCTAAAGGTAGCATTAGTTATGTTACAATGTTTTTAATAGATAATATTCGCCTCTCTATAAACAATTATAATTTAACGTTTACAGGTATGTCTCAAATATTTGAAAATTGTCGCTCCAAAACTGCATGTGACTACAATATAGATAAAGATTATTATGAAGATGTAAGTGCAAAGACATATAAACTAAATAGTAAACCAAAATATGTAGGGACATTGGTGTTTAAATCTGAACATTTTGAATTACAGAGCATTTATAACAATTTTGTCAATGACGTTCAAGCCAACACTGAAATATATGAGCCAATGATACAAAATGTTGAAGAACTTGCAACAAAAAATGTTCACAAGTTTCAAACTAAAGTAAAGAAAGATCACGCATCTTTAGTTTTTGATGAGAATTCATTGAAAAATGCTGCGGTAATCTACTGTTATTATACACTATAAAGAATATGATTAATTCAAGAAAACGTTAAATTATTAATGATTTATCATTTTACACAGGTTCTTGGTCAAGTTGATTGTAAATTTATTGCAGCAGTAATGGAAAACCATTGTGTTGAACAAACAGAAACTTCACAATATCTCATGTTATTTGATCAACATGCCGTTCATGAGAGAATAAGACTAGAAAAGAACTTAGCAGGTATTTCTCTTTTGTCAGACACATCACACATTATTGAAAGTTAATATGATAATTTTAGAGCCATCTCAAAGTAGACAAATATTTATTTTTTTAAATTAGACCACCTCTTATATTTGAATTGGTCACAATGAGCATGCAACATCGATCAAGTAGCAATGAAAGCGGCTAAAGTTACTAATGAACTTCTAACCCTCGATCAATATTATTATATTACAGATTACATCATTGATGACAAATGGACTAGTGTAACAGTAGATAATATGATTTTGAAGATGTCGAAAGATGAAATTCTTTACCTGCATAACTATAAAGATAAGTTCAATCAGTTAGGTCTATTTTGGACTATTTCAGATGCAAACGAAGTGATAGTTCATTCTATACCTGAGGCTATTATCGGTAAAAATCCTAGAGAGGTAATGTATAAAATTATTACTATCCATCTTTATAAGTATTTTAAAAAAAGCAGAAATAATTACAACACATTTTTATTTATGTATATAGGTAAATTCTTTACTAAAGACAACCGTAGCGACCTCTCATATCCCGTCAGTATGATAGGATTGTTTAGCATTTATTAACTACCTACATTAAACTGTTAACACGTAGGTATATAGTCCATTTACGATTTCATATCACATTTTAATATCTTATTAGTTAACGACTACTAGGTAGCTTAACTCATTATTGGCAAAATCATCTATCGTAATTCAGATTTGTTCTGAAAGTGAATAAAACCTGTTGATTGCCAACTAAAGTTTTACTCACAATAAACAAATTTAAGTCTACATACTCTCAACATGTCGAAAATGTCGAGTCATAACTCAAAATGAAACTTTGCATTTTGTCGGCCCTTCATTCAATCAATTTAGTCCCAGTCACCCTCAGGTACCAATACTGTCTCTATATCTATATTATATTGTACTAAAGTCCTGACAATGGATGTTACAGAGATCCTTAACCATAACCGAAATTTTGTGACATTCAAGTCAATAGATACTTGTTAGTTAGTGTATTTATAGTATGTGTAGTTGTAGTGAAACCTATAATCCTATATCTAATCCGAATCAGATGTAAATTTCAGACAACAAGCCAAAAACGTACTGATCACTGCACTATGTGGCAGTAGATTTAGCTACTAGTAAATTATATTTCTAATAGTAGTAGCCAAATAAATCTACCGACTTATATATAGGTAATTGAAACTCGCTGTAAGATAATCGTTATTCATAATAATATGCGGGTTCTAATGAAATTCATTATCATATTTTTTAATAGATTAATCCAAACCGATACATTATTACCGATACAGTATCCAGATCCGATACATCACATCAGTACATCACTAACCCCAACGTAGACCTAGGTATATGCACTACAGACAACTCTATGACGCATGCAGTTCTGCGTGCGCAGTCCCTTCATAAAATCAATGATGAGAGATGAACTAATAATAATAAGAAACATATTCCACAGGTTGATAAGGTAATAAAGGCCGTAAGAAATATGATTGTCGAAGAAATCAGTGCTATTAAGTTGCAAAAAGGATGCATGTCGTTGTACCCAAAGAGTATTATGGATTTAGTTTTTAGTGAGGTAAGGTTGAAGCATTTCTTTAATTTTCTTGGGATCTACCCAAAATAATCCTGCCTAAAGCCACTATTTCACATGTACAAAGTCGTGTGCACAGCTAGGACAATAATAATAAACAGAAGGCTAAGAGAATTTGAGGCTTTAATTGCCGTATGTGGCAACATGCTACGCCGTGTCCAAAATAGGCAAAAGTGTCGAGTACCTGTTGATAATGGGAAATTGCTGAATTGATAATTTCGACCAGTGTCTAATAACTACTAACAATTACACTGAATTCATATCAAAATTTTCATTTTCACACAGGCTTGCCGTTATGCCATAAAATTTGGTGATCAACTTCCGAAGAATGATTGCGTCGAATTGATAAATGGATTGTCGAACTGCAAGACACCATTTCAATGCGCACATGGAAGGCCTGTGATGGCAGTCATAATGGATATCAAAGAAGATAATAGAGAATATAAGGTATTGAATGCAAATATGTATTTTTTGTTGTATGACACACGATTTGTAATTAATTAAGCGTTAATCAGATTTATACTAGAATTTTATTTAAAAGGAAATAAGTGTTTGAATCTCTTATGACTTTATGACTAGGTACATTTTTTTATATTTTAATGATGATTAATTATTATTGCCGATTTCAGGTAAACATGGAACAATTAAAACGATTTAAGAAAATAAATTAAACATTCATAGAACAATAAGAGCAAATATATTTCGTTAATAAAGTTACAATTACAACCTAACAACAGTTTTTCCTTAAACTATTTTTTCATAAAAAATTGGCGCTTGGGGGCACCACAATAGCCTTCGTGAATGTGCATCTTAATCCAGTCAACGTACGGAGCCAATCTTGTATGGACATCAGGGAATCCTACGGCACAAGGGATCCCCCAAGATACTATGCCAACCAGCTCATTGCCTTTTACTAATGGACTGCCAGAATCTCCCTGAAAAGAATTATCCTGCTCTTATAAAATGACTCAAAATATAATTTTTAGTTACAAAAAATATTCAGTCGTTCTAAGTCTATGAAACACAAGAACTTTTCAATTGATTTTGATTCTTTTCGATTGACCAAAAAAATAATAATCATAATAACAATTAGATTGTTTAACTTACGTGACATGTTCCCTGGCCAATCTTCGTGAATGTGCAAAACATTTCTTTGGTAACTGGTCTCGAATATCTCATCGCAAATTCGCATACCTCTTGATTAAAAACTGGCATTTCCAAAGTGTACATAACGCGACTCGATGATCCATGTGGCTAAAAATATATAAAATAATAAAAACTGTTAAAAGAATATTTCAGTAATAGGAATGAATGAATCAGTCCCCAAATCATCAATAATCCTCAAATTCCTAATCCCCAAAAGGCCGGGTTTGTAACACCTCTGGTGTTTCGGGTGTCCATTATTCCGGATTAATTACCATCAGGTGATACGTCTGCTCGTTTACCGGTGTATTCCGCAAAAAAAGAAAAGATAAATCATTTTTACCTCACTAGCACCAAATCCGACCAAAACAATCTCGTCGCCTTCATGAAGATGCCGTCTACTTAGTTTCAAAGGTTTGATGATTTGCAAATCGAATGGACTTCTCGTTTTGAGAAGTGCAATATCATGTTGTCTGCTAGTCGTATTGTATCGTCGGTGCACTATTATTGTAGAAACGCCGCATCTTTTGCCCCCAATGTCTAAATTGTTGGTGCCTGCTACTATTTTTATGAAACGAGGATTTGCTCTGAAAGAGATATTGTATATCATGAAAACAATATAACGTCGCATCTATTTGTTAAATTGTTACTCGAAACAAAGTTGTAAGTAAGTAGTTTATAGCCATGTTTCGACACGAATAGGCCGGCTGGACCGGAGTGATACCACGGCCTCACAGAAAACCGACGTGAAGCAACGCTTGCGTTGTGTTTCGTCGTGTGAGTGAGGTTATCGGAAGCCCAATTACCCTTCCCTTCCCCAATCTCCCAAATTCCTGAATCCCCAACGATCCTCAAACTCCTAATCCCCAAAAAGCCGGTAACGCACTTGTAACGCCTCTGGTGTTCCAATGGGCGACGCCGATTGCTTACCATCAGGTGATGCGTCAGCTCGTTTACCGGCTTATGCCATAAATAAAATACTTAATTTCGGGTTTAACAGTACAAAGCATTTAAATTAGAAAAGAATATTCTAGAAAATAAAGGCCTTCGTTCAACATTAGGTGACGTTAATGTCTTTTGGCTAATGATTTATGCAGTCTTCAGCAGTCAGTCTTCTGGCAATGACATATTCTACCTATAGAGGTAGAATAGAATCTCAAAAACTCAAAATCTCAACATACTGTTTAAGGGTAAGTCAATTGTTATTTATAAACCATAATTTTCTACTCACTTATGCACACAATGAGCTGCAGATACCACAAACCACTGGGACACCACAGCGCCACCACAAACATGATGACCAGTTAAATTCTGAACTGACGCGTGAAACCTTCCATATTCTTCAGGCGCGTGGAAACCTCCTATTATCCTGAAGTCTATTGCTGAAACTATTTGCACACTTGTTAGAAACTTTGATGAAGCGCACTATATTTGTAAAATTAGTAGAATTAAACGAACCTTTCATAACTAAAACGAAACTTAAAACTACAACAAACGCATTGAACAAAGACGACATGTTAGCTACATTCCGCCAAGAATTAATTAATACAACTGAAATAAATTTTATTTTGATTCATGTTGAAACTGTTATCTACAATAACAATCAGTATACATCGTATCAACCCCTTCTATATCTCTTTGATAATCTCAAAGTTTAATCATGTAAAAATCAAAACTGATAAAATCCTTCTGATTAGGTACAAAAGGACAAATTAGTATTTTTCAGATCTGTTGTTTAATTATGTAGTAGGTATCTTTAAATTAATTATACTAATTAATGATACGTATTATAATTTAATTTAGAGACGTCACGGCAGGCCCAAAAGGAGACGGTGGGACGAATTGGACATCTATGACAAGGATTGACGCACGGTGGAGCTAGCAAGCGGTTCACACACGAAGTGCCGCATAGCCGCGCGGATCGTCTCAATGCAGGACGTGTTGCAATTTAAAAATGGAAGTGTCTGTGAACAAACTGGTTTAAACTATGTTAAATCCATCCGCACGGGCAAGCGCGTAAACCGCCTTCCCGCGCAGCGCACCACTACGAAATCCACTTCACCATCGCCGCTCTTCCTCGCCCGATTTTAAATGTCCTGTTTAAAATCGTTCCTTAACAATTTTTTTTTTAAATGATTTATGCATTAAGTGGGAAAGATGGGCCAGGAAAGTCCTTAAGTGGAGACCACGGACCGGAAAGTGAATCGTGGGCAGGCCTCCCGCTAGGTGGACCGACGACATCGCCAGAGTTGCGGGGACCCAGTAGATGCGGGTGGCGAGTTGTCGTTCGACGTGGAGGGCTAATGGGGAGGCCTTTGTCCAGCTGTAGACGTCTTCCTGCTGTTGATGATGATGATGATAAATCATTAAGTTTTTAGCAACATAAAGTAGCAATATGATAATTCTTTATTTTTTATTCTTTATTTTTGTTTTTTGTTTTGATCTTGATTTTTTTTAGTCGCAATAGGCTAGTTCCCTAAATCGACAACGGCTTTGACATTTCGTTTTAAATGTCACATTCACATCAGTTAACGTCATTTTTATTATGTGAAAGTATTAGCTTTGCTGTTGCGTTGCATGTTATTGTGTATTATTTATTTCACCTTAATTATTAAAACATAAGTCAAAATGGATATTTTAAAAGCTGAAATTGCTAGAAAACGTAAGCTTCTCGAAGAAAAGAATTTACTGGTAAGCAAACATTCACAACAATAATATAAACACGCTCCTCAATCTTCGACTTTGATTCATTTTGTTAGTTCTGTTTCATTACAGGATCCCACTAAAAACAAGAAATACTTCAAAAGAGGTGAACTCATCGCTAAAGAACAGGAGGAATATTTAAAGAAATATGGTCCACGGATGCCCGAACCAGAAGACGCCGTGTCACAAGAAGTTAAAAACGAAAGAGGTTGGTAAAACGTTATTACCATCATCAACAGCCCATCATAGTCCCCTGCCAGACTATGGGAGTCTTCTATATTATTTGTTATAATCCCCACTATGGAGGCAGGTTGTGGATTATAGGTAGCATGAGTAGTAGTAAGTAGCAGATTTATTAGAAAGCAATGGTTTCTGTCAAAAGTGTAGTCTCTTACTACAATATGATGTTGAACACTGATTCTCAAGACAAGCTTGCGTAGCGAGTAGGTATGATAACAAAATGTTACTCTGCTATGACTACATACCTAGGCAAAAGTCCATAGCATATTATGCAATGCAACCTTATTTCATTGACACTAAACACTAATGTTATTATGTTTAATTTTATTTTTCATTTATGTTAAGTTAATCTTTATAATGTGTTACAGCAAGGGATACACAAGCAACCAATGATGCGGAGAACACTGAAATAGTTGGCTTGCCAAGAACAGAGGTCATAAAGAGGTTGCGAGAAAGAGGTCATCCAATCTGGTTGTTTGGTGAAAATGAATTGCAATCATTCAAGAGATTGAGAAGGATAGAGATTCAGGAACCTGAAGCTAATAGAGTGAGTATATTATATTGTAATATTTTACCTATCAATTTTGGAGTCGGCACAGTCTCAAGTTTTGGCTGAATGTCAATTGTTCAAATTATTAATCACCACTTAATTTTAAGTTGTGTTAAGCATAGTTCTGCCTTTACAGATTCTTTGTAAAATTACAGAGATGGCAACATATTATAAAAAAAAATTTTTAGTTAGTCTTATATAAAACAACTACCATCGCACAAAAACTGATAGCAGATTCATTTGTAATGGTACTATAATAATAAATACAGGTATCTGTTGTCTGTTGATCTACTCCTGCCTCTTGTCTAAATTATACATTTTGTTCCTTTTCAGGGTTTGAGGAATGACTTCCAAGAAGCTATGGAAAAAGTAGACGAAGCATATCTGAATGAAATTTTAGCTTTAGGAACTCAGGTAATTTAAAAATTTCATACTGATTGTATTTTATGCCGTAAACATTATTAAACCTGGAAGGTTTATTATCATAATTATATATTTTTTATCATATTTCAGAGTGACAATGATAAACAACTAAAAGAAGATGCATTGGATGATTCAGTAACTTACGAGTCCATACAAGAAATGGCAAAGACAATGGGACAGGGTGACAAAAACCATGATATGAATGTCATCATGACTTTGTTACAGGTAAACAAAAAATTTATGTAGTAAATCCTAATTGAAGCAAGATTCCCAAATAGGCATTCAATTGTATTATAAACTAGTAGTACCAGCAACTTAATCTACGTTTTTCTAAAATAAAAGTAGCCTAAGGTTACTCCTTAGTAAATCAGCTACCTGCTAATAAAATTTCCGTCAAAATTGGTCTGGGCATATCAGAGATTAGCCAGTACAGACAGACAGACCAAAATTGTAAAAAGTGTTATTTTAGTTTATGTACCATAATTATGTATATTACATACATAAATAATATTATGTATATTACATACTACATTTCATGTAGTAAAAAGCAGTTATTTCAATAGTAGAAACAGACACTTCAATTTTATTTGTCTGTATAATGTCTTCTTTTGTTTTACCCTATCAAACATTCTCTTATCTCACAATCCATCCATTCAAAGAAATCATCAAACTAAAAGTACCAAATCAAAAAATATTATTTGTTTTAGAAAACCTCTTATAAAACTGTAGTATTCAATCCAGGTATTAATATTCAGTCTAATATGTTTCAGTTTCTACTAAAGCTATGGGGACAGCAACTCAACTCTGCTACAGGTGCAGAGAAGACGGCAGTTAAACATAAAATGACGCGCGCCACCTTCACTCAAACTCAGGTGTACTTAAAACCTCTGGTGCGAAAACTCAAAAAGAAAAATCTTCCAGATGATATTTGCGAAAGTCTCTGTGAAATTACCAAACATTTGTTAGAAAGGAATTATATTATGGTTTGTATTATTTTTATTTGCCGTCAGTCTTGTCGCCAACCATTTCTAATCAAGATATTTTATCGACTGCACGGTTGGCTCGGTGGTTGGGCAACTGGCTGCCGCGCAACGTGTCGCGGGTTCGATTCCCGCACGAAACAACTCTGTGTGATCCCCAGATTGTTGTTCCGGGTCTGGGTGTGATGTGTATGTAAACTTGTATGTTTGTAAACGCAATCACGCCACAGGAGAAAATCCTAGTGTGGGGCAATTAGAAATTGTAACAGTAGGAAAGAACTATCCTGCCTCTGGAATCCAAAATTTGTTGGTCTCATTAAACTTATCATAGAACAATTTTCTTAATTTTTTTAAGATAATGTTTCTTTTTCAGGCAAGTGATGCATATCTTCAAATGGCTATAGGAAATGCCCCATGGCCAATTGGTGTGACTATGGTCGGTATTCACGCCCGTACTGGTCGCGAAAAGATCTTCTCCAAAAATGTGGCTCATGTCATGAATGATGAAACTCAAAGAAAATATATCCAAGCATTGAAGAGACTTATGACGAAATGCCAAGAATACTTCCCAACTGATCCTTCAAGATGTGTTGAATATACTACAATTAGATAATGAATAAAATATATTGATTTATCATATTCCATCTAAAGTTCATTTATTTCCCAACTAAACCTGTGCCTCCAACCGAGTGGTTGCAGGCGCAGGTATAGATTCATGAGCAGTGATGTACAAAATACCCAATACAAAGTATCTGAAATACAAAATACAAGATACTTTAAAATTAAGTATTACTAGATACAAGATAGATAACATATATACAAGATATAGATAGATACAAGATACGTTTCTAGGAAAACAACACCTGAATGAATTCAAATTTCCTTACTTTAAATGACAATGCTCACGAAGTATGAAAAATCCCAGGCTTGGCGCAAATGAAACTTATCTCAGATTTTTAGTGTGATCCTAATCAATGCTACATGCGGAGCATCATCGAAATCGATGGCTCAATGCAAGAAATTGCTGTGTTAGTGGCTCATTTCTTTTCGTTAGCGCCAATGTTGGGTTTTGTAGAGCATTGTCCTACATACATAAATGTCAGCTTAGAATCTGATCACATTTTATTTTAATTGATGAAAAGAATTCTAAAAGTATCTTATCCGAAAAAGTATTTGTTAAATACTAATATACAGAACGAATTAATTTAAATACAAGATGTAAAACGGAATTTTTAAAAGTTTAAATTTTAATTTTCACGTGACTATCGGTTCATTACTGCTAATTAAAGAAAACCGCTAGCTAACAATCTATGCTACTCTTAGATTATGTAACTTTAAATACTCTATTCGCAAATAAAATAGGTATTATTATGTAAAACATCAAGTAACATTTTTCTTATAAAATTAAACTATTCGTTATGGAACGGCACAAGAAGCAACGAAGTAACTAAACGTATATTGACATTAGTATTTGATAGCAAAGAGTTTATTAGTTAAGAATGATGAAGCGAAATATCCATCATATCGATAAATATATATATATGAGTCGCGGAGACCTAACGGGTTACCGGGTTCCGGCTCGACATGCAGGAGAAGGAATGGGGTGGTTTTTAGTTAGTAAGAATCTGACACTACGATCTCCGGCCACCATAAGCGCAGGTCTACGGACGGCGAGCATGGGTGGCTCTCCGTCCGACCAGAAACACCATCAGTTCCGCGTGCGCCTCAAAGAGCCATCAGACCACCACAGATGGGGCACAACAGGGTCGATGCCGATTCGGAGTCACGAAAAACCTAACAGGTTACCGGGGCTACGGCTCGACGTGCAGGAGAAGGAACGGGGTGGTTTTTAGTCAGTAAGAGTCTGACACTCCCTCCCGCCTCACCTAGGCGGGAGCAGTCACTCGATGATTTTTCCCGCTCAAAAAAAAAAGAGTGACCCTCCCGCCTCACCCAGGCCGGTGTAATTGGTGGTAATTTAGATTATTACTCTAACCGTTGTGCAGTAATTTGTTTTAAAGAGCGATTCTGTCTTGAGCTTTTATTGTTACGTATTTAAAAATATATTGAAGAAAATAATAATAATTATGTAGGTACATAGTACTTACGTGGACATGAGGGGTAAGAACGCTGCTAATGTTCCTCATTCCCATGTTTTGTTCAGTTGATCCAAATTTCTAATCGCACAACCTTTACATGTTTCAAATAAATAAAAAAAAATTTTTTCAGACTGTCTTGTTAGCCGAGTGATCGCAAGTGCGACTGCCGGCTGACTGACTGCCAAGGGTCTCGGGTTCGATTCCCGGGTCGGGCAAAGGATTACTGGGTTTTAAAAAATTCTCAGTTGTACTACGGAGCCTGGAATTATGCCCGGTGTATGGCAATAGGCTCACTCCCTTTTACATGGGACTCATAACATAAATGGTGAAAAGTGGGTTTTACATTTTGTTATGATTCATCATCGATAAATTGTGTGATTTTGATGATGAAATATCGTTACATTAATATATCGATAATTTTTGGATTTTGCCCAAGACTATTTATGTCAGTGTCAACATGTCAACAAGCAAGTCGCAACTCGTGTGAAAAACGAAGACCGCGAAGCGACGTAGTTTTTATTGTAGTGAAATTATGTTTTTAAAATGATTTTTGATTATGTTGTCAAGTTTCATTTAGAAGATTGCCTAAATATTTTATCTGAACATGATAACTTGGGCTACTACAGCGTCAAAATCGAGTAAATATGCATTGTTTCTAAGTGGTTTCAAAGTTGTTTGTTTACATTTGTTATTCATTGTTTCTTTTTCTATTTTAGCTTCTTAAAACTTTTTGAAACTTTTCCTGATGTTGGGGATAAAGTATTATGTAGTCCTGTGGAGAGTTTACCGGCCTGTAATAAGGATTTAATAAAAGTTCAGCAAACTATTCTTGAACGCGATGAATACAAATCAGCGATAGCAAAGTTAGATTATTGCTATTTAAAACGTAACATTCATGCAAGATTCTTCGGATTGCCGGTTTGTCCTGAATTGCATCGAACAGTTTTCCCGAAAAATGTGGATTTGGGATGTTTTTTAAAAGTCACAGGTAATTTATATTTGTACAATCTATACTTCAAAAGAGGTACTAAAGTTTACATATTACTTTTTAATATGATTGTTTTTAGGCACTGTTGTCAGAGTCACACAATCTAAAATGCTGGAATATCAGAGAAAGTATGTTTGTATGAAGTGTAAATATGAGAACTGTGTTGAAGCAGAATTTGAGAACAGATACATATTGCGACCACCATCAAAATGTGGGAATGATGTCAAAGCTTGCAAAAGTTCTACATTTTCACAAGTGCCTCTAGTTTCAAGAGAGCATTGTAAAGATTATCAGGAAATCAAAATACAGGTAATGTCTCGCTTGCTACTTTTAATTCATTTAAGAAAACCTATACAGGTATCATGCCATGTTCTATTTCTGCATCAAGTGCTAAGCGGACCAGATTTAGAACATTTCCATATTGCTGCGTAGTAGCATTAAGTAAGAAATTGTTCAAGGCATTAATAGCCTCTGTGACTTTTACACATGGTACTTGGAATATTCACAGTTCCAAACATAACATGTTATTTATAACACAAGCATTTTAAGAATTTTAATACATCATCTTTTAACTCGTCGAGTACCGTATTTATAGACACAATTAAAGAACAATAGGTTGCGGTCACCGGTGACCGCTTAGTGTTTGACAGTTTAATATTTATTAACCTGTAATCTTACAGGAGCAAGTGAACAAGTTGAGTATTGGAACTATACCTGGCTCAATGTGGGTGGTGTTGGAAGATGATCTGGTGGACTGCTGCAAGCCTGGGGATGATGTCATTATTTGGTAGGTAATAGTTAAATACAGCTGTAATAATTGCCATCATATCAGTCACACAACCACTTCCCCCAATGACAAACTGTAGGCTGTGATATTCATTAATGATGAAAATACCAATGAAACTCTTATCTATATCAATAAAAATTAATTTCCGTTCGTTAGTCTCGCAAAACTCGAGAATGGCTGCACTGTTTTGGCTAATTTTGGTCTTGAAATATTCATAGAAGGTTAAAAAGGTGAGAAATACTTTGTTAGCAGTCAGCTAGTAAGATATGATTATTTGTAGAGGAGACTCATTTATTTTTCATACATTTATGTATGGTCCTGGTTCTATAATGTAACATCATGAACTACTTAGAAAATTACTGTCTGAAATAGTAAAAACATTTATAAATTCCTGTCAAATTTTCAGTGGCACCGTCAGACGTCGATGGCGACCTTCAAGCACCAATAAGAAGTCAGAAGTTGAACTAGTCTTACAAGCAAATTACATAGAAGTCTGCAATGCACAGAAGTCAGAAGTCTTGTCTACTGCTCCTGATGTAAAGGACTGTTTCGATGACTTCTGGTCTAAGTATGAAGCTTGTCCCATGAAAGGAAGAGACCGGATTCTCGCTTCAGTGTGTCCTCAGGTAACAGAGATGCTTGAATTTTTTTTAATGGTATTGGACGCTAACATGCCGCAATATCATGATTGTAACTGATTAGTACTACCCACTGCTTTTACGGCTTAGTACACTGCAAACATTGTTTATGCCGATTTTCTGTAGGCCAGAACCCTTAGTACGAGTTTCTTTTTAGTTTAAAGTAGTTGTAACGAGTACGCGTTCGGCGCTGTGATTCATCATCATCATCATCAACAGCCTATAAATGCCCACTGCTGAGCAAAGCCTCTTCTCACACGGAGAAGGTTAGAGCATTAATCACCACGCTTGCTCAATGCGGGTTGGCGATTTCAAACTTATAATTAGAAATTATAAGTCCAGGTTTCCTCACGATGTTTTCACCGTTTGTCAGTGGTGTCTAAATAATCTTAGAAAGTACATATAACTCGGAAAAAGTCACATTGGTACTTGCCGTTGGTAGGTTTCGAACCCGCACCCTCATGCATGAGAAGTGGGCGTCCTAAACCTCCGGGCCACCACGACGCTGTGATTGGCCGGTTCTAATGAACCAACCAATCAGGGCGCCGGACGCCGTCTCGTTTCGATTAATTTAAACGAAAAAGAAACTCGTACTAAGGCCTCTGTAGTATGTAGTATGGCCGGCCTATTGTACTGAAACATGGCTCTCCCACATTTGCATTTTTAAGTCCACAGAATGATGTACTTAAAATTCCCATACCAATTGTAGTTTTAAAACACTCCCTTAAAATGTTCCAGGTTTATGGTCTTCACTTGGTGAAGTTGGCAGTACTTCTAACAGTGATCACTGGTTCGAATCATGTTGCTGAGAACATTCAAGATGGCAAGAAAAATGCTCAAGATGACAAACATGCTACTCGTGTGCGAGGCCAATGTCATTTACTTCTCGTTGGTGATCCAGGTATGCATGTAAAGAAAAATGAATTAGTATAATACATTTGTGTAAGCGATTGAACCTTATTGTAATATTTTTTTTGTTGACAATGGCATCTTACTATAGGGCTTGTCATAGGAGGGCCTTAATTAAGTACAAAAGTTTTCAATCAACTACTAGTATTTAGTTTTTGTATTTTAAACTGTCAAACACCAAGCGGTCACCGGTGACCGCGACCTATTGTTCTTTAATCGTGTCTATAAAACCGGTACTGGACGAGTTAACACTTCCAAATAGTTGGACCTTATACAACAACTTTGATGAACAATTTGTTTTTCATTTACCACATATTTTATTTTGTAATTTTTTAGGTACTGGCAAATCACAGTTACTTCGCACTGGTGCAGAATTGACAGCCAGATCTGTATTCACCTCGGGAGCCGGCAGTACTCGAGCCGGTCTTACTTGCGCGGCACTAAGGGTAAGAATACAAATTAATTTTAAGTTAATAACAAAACAAATGGGTAGACAATTGGGCTTCTGGTAACCTCAGTCACACGACGAAACACAACGAGCATTGTTTTTCGTCGGTTTTCTGTGAGGCCATGGTACTATACTGGTCGAGATGGCCCGTTCGTGCCGAAGCATGGCTCCCCAACACTTAAAACTTAGGTAAATATTAGTTTTAAAAGATAATCTTATGATTTTCAGGAAGATGGTGAATGGCAACTAGAAGCTGGTGCCTTAGTTCTATCAGATGGTGGAGTATGTTGTATTGACGAGATATCCCAGCTCAGGGAACATGACCGCACTGCTATACATGAAGCTATGGAACAACAAACCATATCTGTTGCAAAGGTATAAAGTTATTGTAATTTAAACTTTGTTTGGTTGATGTTTAAGTTGATATTGGCTTCTTAAACATTCTAGTTTGTAGTTGTGTACAATGTGTTTCAAAAATTCAATGCACTTAAGCTGTTGTAATTTAGACCAAACCGATTTGATTAACTAATGGTTTGCAATTTCCAGGCTGGTATTGTATGCAAATTGAACACGCGCTGTGCAATAATTGCTGCTTGTAATCCCAAAGGACACTATGATACAGATCAGCCTCTCAGCGTCAATGTTTCTTTGGGAACACCTCTGTTAAGTAGGTAAAGATATTTTTTATTATTTAAATAAATCTTAAATGACGTACTTACATTGATTTTGATAAACTATGACTTAATTTCAAATGAAATTGATCAGTGAGTATGTTTCTCGACGAACTCATTCATTTTAAGTGTGGGAGAGCCATGCTTCGGCACGCATGGACCGGCTCGACCGAAGCGATACCACGGCCTCACAAAAACCCGACGTGAAACAACGCTTGCGTTGTGTTTTGTCGTGTTAGTTAGATTACCGGAGGCCCAATTTCCCCAATAATCTTCAAATTCCTAATCCCCAAAAGGCAATTAACGCACTTGTAACGCCTTTGGTGATCCCGGCCCATTGCTTACCTTCAGGTGACCCGTGAGCCCGTTTACCGGTTTCCCATAAATAAAAATGTATTATTATAATAATATTACATTACATATTATTTGGATTTGTTTTTCAGGTTTGATTTGATATTTATTCTATTGGATTCGAAGAATAAAACGTGGGATAAATTAGTATCGTCATACATACTATTTGGTGACTCAAACGCAGCAGAATCTAAGAAAAGATGGAATCTCGAAAAGCTACAGGTATGATAAAGAGAAAATTATATCTATTCGACTGCCTCGTTGGCCGAGTGCTCACAAGTGCGACTGCCGGGCAAGGGGTCTCGGGTTCGATTGCCGGATAGGGCAAAGTACTACTGGGTTTAAAAAAAATTCTCAGTAGCAGCACGGAGACTGGAATTGTGCCCGGTATATGGCAATAGGCTCACCCCCTATTACATGGGACTCATAACATAAATAGTGAAAAGTGGGTGTTACATTGTACAGTGGTACAATGTACACCTCTTCCTATCCCTTCGGGGATAAAAGGCGTGATGTTATGTTGTTATGTTATGCTGTTAGACAACATCTTGGTTGAGGAGTCTAGTATGAAACTTAATATCAATGTATGTAAAGTACTAGTAGTAATGATAAATACTTTCTTGATTTTAGATGTACATAAGTCTAGTGGGCCCTAAGTATTCAGAAATGACGAAATCAGCAAATATTATTCTCCAGAAGTATTACATGGCACAACGAATGTCTGAACATCGGGACGCGTCCCGAACTACTGTCAGAATGTTAGACAGTTTAGTAAGGTAAGACCAGCTAATAATAAAAGACGAATTCTGATTGATGGAATCTAAAACAAAATTGAAACTGCTATGAAAGCTACTAAGCTGACAATATCTTTGGAATATTTTACTAAAGATGGATTATTGTCATTGCAGATTATCTCAGGCCCATTGCCGATTAATGTATCGTACTACAATCTTACCAATGGATGCGGTCGTAGCAATTTCACTTGTCGACCTTTCTATGCAGGATTGCACACTCGATGACACTGCAGACGCCTTACATTCAACTATACCCAAGTACCCTGACTTTGAATACTTATGCACAGCCAAAAAACTTCTAACGAGGTTGAATTTGATTGATGTATGGCGAAACGAACTATTATACTACGCGAAGTTATTACAAGTTGACCATAAAACGTTAGAAAATGATTTAGTAACAGGAAATTGTAAACTATTCGCGAAACACGATGATGTTACTGATGATAACATACAACTATCAGCGTCTCTAATAACTAGTTCTTATTTTAATAATAAAAAAGGTAATAAAAGTAATGACAATGCTATTGTCGAAGATATAGAGAATGTAAGAAAAGATAAAGAGTTTAAGAATGATGGTATAAATGAAAGATTTGCTGTTACGCTAAAGAAACACAAGACTCTTAATAGTACAGAAAAGGAACCACCTAGTGTTAAAAAGAAAGGCGGTAATAAACGCAAAAGAAAAGAAGTAACTGTAGACATTACTGGAGTAAAAAATAAATTACCTAAAAGAGGCAAAAAGTTCAAAGGCAAACCTAATTCTAATGAGGACCAAGAATCTAATAGTGATGAAGAATTTGTAGAAGAACAAATTGTTTTAAAAGCTGTACCAAGTGTAAATGATGCTTTAGCTGATTTAGGCATTGATTTCCACTTTGATAATGGAAGTGATGAAACTAATGTTAACAATGAGAGTCACATTGATAATAGTACCGTTAACAACGAAAGCAACAATGAGAAATCTGAACCTAAAGAAACAGAAACACCCAAAAAGATTGACACATCTGAAGAAAATCTCGACAGTGTATTAGATATTAGTATTGAAATGAATTCAAAAAAGGATGATGTCAAAGAAAGAACTGTTAGTAAGCTTAAACAGTTTCAATTTGTTAGCAAACATGATTTGGATAAATATGATGATAAGCCAAGAAAACCTTTGGATAATAAAACTACAGATAATGTCAGTGATACAATGAAATTAAAGGCAAACAATATAGAAAGAAGTGCTTCTAGTACAAGTGCATCTACTTCTAAATCCCATTTGTCAATGTTTGAAAATATAGATGCAGATACAAATATAACAGTACTTGCTCATGTGAAAGGCAAAGAAAATACTTCTACAGTATCAAATCAGAAGCCATCTAATCCAAGTTCTCAAATATCAATGTTTGAAAGTTCAGACTGTGATATAGATTTAGATATATAATCATGTTTATATAATTTTGTTGTTAAAATAAATCAAATACTACTGTTTATTCATAATTTTATTTGTAACAATTAAATTCTACATAATATTTACAAATAAGACTAAGACGGTTACAATTGTTCTGATTAAGAGCTATATTTTGTTACATTCTTTTCTACCTGTACCAAAATCATAGTCTAATCAAAAATGTTGAAAAAAAGGCCGACATAAAGTTACTTAGAAATCATTAAAGCACCAAAATCTCAGTGGTTTCTTTGTGTATCTGTATGGGTTACCACATTACCAGACTTAACCCCTCGAGCGTCCTTATGAGCACCCGGTGGATCATAAGAAAAAATGCTCCATGCTGCTTTCTCTTTTATAAAAATCTATTATTAATGTTTTGTTTTTATATTGACTGTATTTGTTTTCTTTCTATTGTAATGATCCTTGTTTTCGTGTGCCAATGGCCAAACAAATGCATTTTCTTGCATGCATAAGGATAAGGAACGCGGACACTCGACGGGTAAAGAAAAAGACAGATTTCCTTTGTGTCAATGTGTTTATGTTTTATGTGTAACTCTATAGGTAGCCAGTCAGGTGCCACAGCTGTTTCAAGAGACTATGTCTGCCTTTTTTTGACATCATCAGGTCTAATGCTCTTTGTCGCATATTAAAAAACATTCCAGGAATAATAATTATAGGGAATAATTTTTACTAAACTTCTTCCGAAGTTTTTAAAGGGTCATTTTCATAGTTATCTATGAGTAAGTGTTTGAACCTCCTTGCTGTAACTTGAATGCTTTCTTCTTTAGCTGTTACATCTAGGATTTCTACTCTGGACACATAAATGTGATCTGGATTCTTAGGGCTCACCATCTTTATGACATCTACTTCATCACCCAGCTTTACCTAAAAAATTATATTGGATTATTTAAGTAACAATCTAACATTATTGCATATTATTATGTATTTTTTTTATTACTTGCTAACAGTATTCTTACCGAAGCACTTTTCTTTAAGATTTTCTTTCCGTTGACTCTGATTTTACTTTCATAAAACATTTGTTCCACTTTACTGAAAAGAAAAAAAATGTGAGTTATCTTTTTTCATATCTTTAAAGGCTAGATTATCAGTTCAGACTCCACAAAAAAATATTAATTGAAAAGATTTCTTACTTTCTTGATATACTAAGTGCTGATTTCAATACTACATCAGTTCTCATTGAAGTGGTAGAAAATTTGACTACTTTTGAATCTTTCGAGAGAGACGAATCATCCTCTAGTACAATTTCCTCGTCGTCTGAATCGTATTGTCTCTAGAAGAAAAACATTGAGATTTGTGACCTTTACTTCTTAGAAAAGGTTAGAATTCAAATAAAAATTGTATTATTTAGAACTTACTTTTGAAAGGAAGTACATTAATGTTATTCTAGTTTATACACACCTTTTTTGATTTCCAACGCACTATTGTATAATTCGTATTGTTAGAATACAATTCCACTAGTTTTGAGGTTATGTTTACATGTTGATAAACACAGCAATGAATTGGTCTATGAATAATTTCCTGTTTAAATACACGGGTAACAAATGCTGGATTAATAATTCTTCGCAAAAAACTCATTTTTGTTTCATTTATTGGAATTAAATCACAAACAGAAAATGTTACAAAACTTTACACTCCATTACACGAAATGTGTCGTGACATTGACAGTTCACGCTAATGAGTCATGTTCAAATGTATTGTTTGTAGCTTTTATCCATAATTTACTATTTTGATTCGAATAAGCATATGTACAAATAAAATTATTTCGATTTCTTGTTATAGTACAATTAAAGAGATATTGATACGTATTATGATTTAATTTGACAATCAAGAAGTGCAAAATGGAACGTAAAAAAATCGTTTAGAAAAGTTCTGTACGTCCTAAAACAATCCTTCAATGTTCAATTTTAAAATAGTATTATTTTATTGATGTATTTTAGATTGGTGTGACTGCAATAACTTTGATCTATAAAGAATCAATCATGTCAAAATAAACGGACTGCGTTTCTATCATCAGCTGTTACTTCTTTGTAAGCTTAATAATAAACGATGATTGTGGTGCACGGTGATGATAGTTGAGAGCGTTCTCATAAATTCATAATTATAACCGTTTACAGATTACCCGTCGACCGATGTGAGAGCAAACACCCCCACTTCCGTTTGTTTACGCCATTTGGTTAGCATCAAACCGATTATTATGGTTTACTTGATACATAGTTAGGTTTTGGTTCAAGTTTATATTTAAGTAGGTGCTGCTTAGCAGCGGGCGAGACAAGGAGTTGGAATAGGGTGGTTTTTAATCAGTAAGAGTTAAAAAGTTTGATGCCAGATGCCCCCTCTTGCGCGAGTCATAACTATTTGATCTGCAAAACACTGTCTTCTAGTTTTTTTTTATTGAGCTTTTATTTCGTTGGTAAGGTAGAACCTAGTACATACATCTGTGTCAAAGATTGTAGGTTACTATGCGCAACAATTCCACACCAAAACACCCTAAACGTAGTTTTTCTAATTAATAAACTTTAACAACAGCAAGACAGTTCTATTTTTCTATCCCTAATAACCGTAAAACAAGCTCCAGGCTACAGCCACATCGTGTATGTATTATAATCAAAAAAGCATTATTTCTAAAATATCTCCCAAGATAATTAACAATAAACAATTCAGACCCAATAGCGATAATGTCCTAACAAAAAAATTCTAAGAGGACAAAGAAAACAGATATGATATCCTTGTTGACACTAGTATCAGGGTGCGCGTGTCACGTCGTGGGAGAGTCTTAGCGATATTCAAGTGTGTCGATTTATCTCGTCCCGGCGACTGAGCGGCGCATCAGAGTAAACACCACCTCTCTAGCGATAATGGTTTCTCTTTAGTGAATATTTTTTGCAGACCGGTGCTTGCCTACTTAGGTGTATGAGGATAGTGTTAATGAGATTGGTTTCATATGGTTTTTTAGTGACGCGGTTCAGGTAAAGTGGTCCAACGATGAATCTATGCAGAGTTATTATTTTATTTTCTACTAGTCTGATCTATAGAGTTACTATTGTTAATTTCATGAATAGTATATCTATCGGATTCATCGACAACTGATGTGAAAACATTTAATCAAAAATGTGTTCAGAAGCTATCTCAAAATAGTTATGGCTACAAAAAATAAACTCTCATTAAAAAACTTAAAAGATTTAATGACAAAAACAATCACGACTGTGACCAAACGAAACCACCCTGTGGCAGAGTCGGCACCCTGAATTTAAAAATAAAAACTTACTTTTTCTTTCAACACAATTATTAGGGCGTTCGTCATACGAAATTTCCAGCCAGCTACTTTATCACATTATACACGGTTTGTCTCTTAGTCTTACCAACCAACCAACATGTGGACACATGTCTTGAATTCAAAATGGTCTTTTTATTTTAGTACTATACGATTATGTTAACGGCGAGTTCAAAGGGTTTTATAATTTGACACAGTTTTATGGCTTTGTCCTGTGTGTTGACGGCAGTGGATGGAAAAGTTGTGTACCGTCGCAAGTGGACTATTAATTTATCGTGAAGACAAAACAGTGTTATCGCATAAATTGTGATGTCTCTGGGTACACGGCTACGGATCATAATCATAAATCTTCCTGCTCTCTAGCTCTTGCCGCAGATTACTCAATCCTGGCTGGCGGAACCGCGTTGCTTTTTATTTTTTGTTTTTGCTTCTAAATTCTGTAAATTGTCGAATGATTTTTTTAAAATTTATAATAGAAAGTAGGCGATAGACGCGTCACCTGCCATAAATAAATAAGAATAATTGGCTTCTTTGGCAGTGAGAAGTAAGAAAATTATTTTCGGCGTGATTTTGCAGTCATATTCAACGAGAAATATTATAGACTGTAGTGTATAATTTGCCCCGAGCATATAAGATACTTCAATCAAAGTTTAATAACACTGAACAAACTTAAAACAAAACGAAACAATCACCTTATCCGAGCACTTATCAAAGCAGAACAGAGTTTCCGCAAAAATTGAAACAAAGTCTTGTAAAGAAACGATCAACCCACTCTGTAACCGTTTAAGTTTGAAACAACTGCACTTATTCCCAGTAAATTGAATGACCATTTACTTGGAATAAGTGCAGTTTTACTTTTTATCTCAATAGCTGCAGTTCTTAGAGTGGTCTACTAGGCGGCTCCTACATTCCTGACTTTATAGCACAAGCCTCGATAAAGTTTCTTTAATATAATCGCGTTCTTGAACAATACGCGTTTACGATGCTTTATGCCGTCCACAAAGGAAGTTATGAATACATCGGTACTCGGGTTTCGGAGTTATAATGTTAACAAACATAAACGTCGCTACTCAACCGTGGGGTCTCAAATAAATCAATGGCTTCTTCGTTTTAAAACCTTTTGTTTGTTCAAGATGTTGCATTGTTTGAATTTGTAAACAATGCTGTAATCGTTGAAGTAAATACCTACTTATCTTGTAATTTTTTAAATACATTTTAGTGATTTGTGATTTTAGTAGTTGTATCTCATTTCATTGCCAAAATCCTTTCGTCCTTGCTAATTAGCAGTCCATTCGACCTTTGTAGAAATACGCAAATAATGCTCACTATACGGAAATTAATAAAATTTGTTTGTACCTAATTAGTATTAATTACGGTTTTATAATTCAGATGTGAACAGAATACAATTCGACCTGTTATTCACACGAAAGATTCAATTTATGTATTTTTTTGTATCATTTTTACGTACCGGTATTATAACTGTGGCTTCTTTTATTCGCCATTTAATAGAGATGAAAAAGATCAACGGTACACAAACGGTAGAATGTAAAAGTAAAATACAACAACAATACAGTAGATATACAAAGGAAAACTTGATTGCAATCACGTCTCATATTTGAGAAAAGATAGCATAGAATGCTTTTAAGCATTTTTATAAAGAACGCTCCATTGCAGCATTCTCATGGAGTACCTATCTCAGTATGGTACATACATTTCTGCGATGTTTCCATGTTATTACCTAGTAATAAATACCTAGAAACAAGTTTTGCAGTTATAATGGATGCCTAAGTAAATCTTCTATACATAAAAGCAATTCACCGACGATGCTAAGTACTCATACCTATTTATTTTACCTAGCATCCCAACTGATGTTATTGTTTTAGACCTTGTTAACGATGACTAGTCCTATGTTGGAATGTTTACACCAGATATGATTCACTATGTGAGTATAGCCTTTACGTCATTTGCCTTCATAGGTATCTAAGACTTTGTTGAAAATGTACGGATGGACGGACCTATGTACGGATTCGATTTCGCTATTCTTTAAGAAATTGTAATTGTAAATCCTTTTGGCACACATTTTCTTCTATGAATACTCTGTCTTGATATACTTCGTCAATGAATACAATAAAATTTTGTACCTATTACAATTCGTTCTTGCTTGGTAAACGGCTAAATCATTTCGCCCAATTTAGCAGCTCGTTTACCAACAAATGTTTTGCACATTTCCATCTCTGTTTTGCTAGTTTATTTACATTTTCGTCCACTGATTGAATACACGTTGCATGCGGTTTCCTTTTGCATTGCAGTTCCATATTAATTGGATTTTGTTTTCATTTGTATTTTCCGCATTTGTTTACCTAGTTGTACAATGATTTTTGTTTCCTTATTAGTGCGCGTTGCTGTTAAGTATTCTATGATCTGACTGTAGTTGATTGCACTATTGATGACTCTAGATTAGTTTGGAAGTATCGACAATAGCTTGAAGCATTTCTTGCAACAAAACTATTTCTAAGCATTAGATAGTTACTTAGTTGATACTCGTAGCCTCGGAACGAATCCAAAACGGCAGCACTTACAAAACCATTCCTCTTTCTAAGCTCCAAGCCCTTTATCCACGCCTTTCACGTAACAAAACAACATAAATAAAATCACTGTAAGTTCTGATTGATCTTAAATATCACGCCGGCAGCTAAGCGAAGTAACGGGAGCGAGAAATTGAATTTCTTATTTGACGCCCGAGGTATAGTATCGTTTATCATGGAGAAGGTGACACTTCATCATGTCATAGTGTCCAAGCCCCCTTTGTAGAGCTATTGGACTGTGAAACTCTCGGCAGCTAGTGAGGAGTATGTAATTGTGGATTATGAGAAATAATGGATGCAATTATAGATGTGTCTGGATTGTAATAAGTCGATGCTTAGTGTCAATAGTCGACGTGTGTGCATGTCTTGTCTGATAGCAATCAGACCCCTTAAAGAGCCTTAGTCCGATCATTAATGGTCTGGTTCTAATCTGATTTCTTCTGTTGTGTATAGTGACGTATGAACTTTTTGAGTTACAGTTGATAGATTGGTGTACAATATGATTTAGGTAACACTTAAATATTATCCATTAAACACCCTATTAAGAAAATGTCGGATTCCCGTGTTATTCCTTTAATGAGGTAATATGTTGTGGCTTAATTAAAATTCATTCTTAATGAGCAATGCAGCTGTAAAGATCAGAGTTTACCAAGTATATGAATGAAAATAATGCCATATATAGCTTTAAAATCTCTTTTTAATTATAACTTTACGATAAA